GAGCTGTGCGTGGGGTTAGAGATTCAGAGCTGGATTCGATGGTCTGTACTGTCACAAAGCAGTCAGTCCAACAGAGAAGAGAGACAAACAAGTACAACCGTTAGCGGCTGGATGAGCCTTCAGATCTCCTGGGGCCACCCTTCACTTCTCCTTTTCCTTATCAATTGTTTGCTTTGGACGCTTGGTGCAGAGAGAGTTGAGTAAGTCATATCTCAGTGTATAGTGGACTGTCATGAACTCAGTTCTTGTTTATTCATTTCCATCTTCACTCCTGCTCCCTGCTCCCCACAACTCCCCCAGGTCCTCATGTTCATGTGTTAAACATGGCCTGGAATGTGAAAGTGTCCTTGGAAATTATGCTGTTTTCTGTATGAGGGCGTGGCTTACATTTATACACAGGAAAATGCATCTTATTCTTTACACCCTTCATCCTGTGTGCGAGTTCACAATACACCACTGTTTTGACTTCTGGTTTTAATGCCACAGAGATAGTGCCACTGCTGCCACCCTTTATTAATTAATTCCCTAGTTATAGGCAGAGAGGTCGCCCCAAATCCTGATAAGCCCGCGGTCAGGGGGAACATGCCGACTGTTTCTCCAGGAAGCATGATGGTTTCTGTAGGTGTGGGGTATAAAGTCTTCGTCAGGTTAACGGAATTCTTTTCGGTTCCTGGTTTTCTGAGGGCTTTTATCGTCTCGTTATCTCTGTCTCCATTCCCTCCTCCTACATGATCTCATCAAGTTTTATCAAGGCTTGACTGTCACCTCTATGCCCCGGTTCCCCAAGTGTCTACCTCTAGCCAAGGCCGCTCTCCCAAGTGCCAGATGTGTATATCCAACGTGACATTGTCCACTCGACATCTTCACTAAAAGACATCTCAAATGCTACGTGTTCCTCATCTTCCCACCAAATCTCCCCTGCCTCACACCTCAAAATACCACCCCAAATGCAGAAAGACTGAATGCTTTTCCTCTCAGAGCAGGAACAAGGCAAGGATGTCCACTCTTGTCTCCCCAATTTAACATGGTGCGGTGAGTCCTAGCCCGTGCAATGAGACAAGAAAAGCAATAAAAGGCACACCAGTGTAAAGGAAGAACTAAAAGTCCTGTTTGTCAATGACATGATTCCCTCCATAGAAGATGGCAAGGAACCCACGAAACTCCTAGAACTAATAAGTGAATTTAGCGAGGTCACAGGATACAAGGTCAAAACATAAAAATCAGTTGTATTTCTATGTATGTACCAGCAATGAACAAGTTAAAATAATGATACTATCACAGCGCCCCCATAAGTGAAATACAGGGGTATAAATCTAACAAAACACATACAAGTTCTGTATGCTGAAGACTACAAAGGAAGAAATGCATGGAGAAGCATACTATATTCTGACTGGGAGACCGAACATTGCAAAATGTAAACCCTCCCCAGACTGGTCTACAGAGTTAATACAATACCAATCAAACAACAGTGATGGAGAACAGATCTGGGGTTGCCAGGTTTAGGGATGAGGGGTGCTTCTGTGACTACAATGAGACAATAGGAGAGAGTGTTTTTGAGTGGTAGAACCGTCTATATCCTGATGTGGAGGTCACACAAATCTATACATGTGTGAAGCCTGTCTCTTCATTCCACAGTTGGGGAACCAGACCCCCCGCCCCCCCTTGGGCAGGTGGCCAGTGATAACCTCCTTGCTAATTCTGGAACCAGCAGCTCTGTAGTCAGGGCTACCTGCTGCCTACTCTGCCACCTGCCTGTTTGTAATTTTGGGGAAGTCACATCTTTCAGAACCTTGGTTTTTCTCATCTACAAAGATCGTAAGTCCCTCTCTGGCCACTGGATAGGTCATTGGTGAGAAATCATGGTGAAAGACTTCATGATCAGTGAACTGCGTGCGGTATGCAGGCCTTTTCCACCTTGTCTGTGTCCTTTATAGATTGTTTATATACGTTCCCAGCGAGTAGTGTTTTTATATTATTGAGGTATAACATACCTCCTCAGGTGTCCATATCATAAACGGACAGCTTATTGTGTTTGCAGCTGAACCCACCCAGTTAACCAGCACCCAGGTCAATCAACAGAACAGCACCTCACAGTCCCCCGTGTCCCCTTTAATCTCCACCCACCCCCTCCAGGGTAGCCTTTTATCTCATCTTCTAACACCCTGGGTTGTTTTTATAATTTGCATCATTGGAATCACACCATATGTATTCTGGGTCTGCTTCCTCCTCTCGCCCTCACCTTCCCCAGATCCATCCATGTTGTAAGGGGAGTTGTCGGTTGCTTGTTCTCATTGTTTTGTGTCATTTCCATCTTGTGAGCCCACACAATGTGTTTATCATCCTGCTGAAGGCGGACGCAGTTTTGAGGTCATTAGGAGCAGGGCTGACATGAACGTTCTTCTTAGTGAGCACACGTGCCCATTTCTCTTGGGGGGCATGTGGGTAGGGTCAGCTCTGGTAGAAGCTGCCCATTTTCCAAAGTGGTTGTACCAGCCTGCACTCCATCAGCAGTGAACGGATGGCTGGGGAGTTCCACAGTCCATCGGGACCCGCCAAAGTCCACACTGGACTTTTCTGCACACACACAGGAAGGATTTGGGGTGATTCTTTCCTTTCCCCTCCCCTCCCGCCTGAGAGCACTGGCTTCCAACTGATGTAAAGATTTCCTGTGCCAACCACTGGAGCACAGACAAACCAGGCAAAGTCCCTAGAACAGTGGTCGGCAAACTGCGGCTCGCGAGCCACATGCGGCTCTTTGGCCCCTTGAGTGTGGCTCTTCCACAAAATACCACGTGCAGGTGCGCACGTACAGTGCGATTGAAACTTCGTAGCCCATCTGCAGAAGTCGGTGGACCCTCGCCCCTGGGCACTGGGGTGCAGCATGTACAGTTTTTTTTTAAATATATATTTTATTGATCTTTTACAGAGAGGAAGGGAGAGGGATAGAGAGCCAGAAACATCAATGAGAGAGAAACATCGATCAGCTGCCTCCTGCACACCTCCCACTGGGGATGTGCCTGCAACCAAGGTACATGCCCCTGGCTGGAATCGAACCTGGGACCCTTCAGTCCGCAGGCTGACACTCTATCCACTGAGCCAAACCGGTCAGGGCAGCATGTACAGTTTTCAGGTTGACTCAACCTCACTTTTTCCGGCGGTAGAGCAGCTCTTACCTATCATGACACTAACCAAGCAATGCGGTGCATCCCTGCCGTTTCTCATGTGGAAAATAATATAAGCAGGACCGCTTCAAAATGGAGTTGGAGCCGCCAGCCCGGGGGCCTGCCTTGCACGTCTTACTCCTCCCACGCGTGGAGCGTTAGAACTGGGCACGGTCACCTTGGGCCGGGCCTGAAGCAGCACTGTAGTGAAATAGCTGTTTGCAAAATATGACGGGAAAGCAAACATTGTGACCATAATGTCTGACTGAGAATTAATGGCACTCTTTCCAATTGCCGTCGCTGTGCTAGTATAGCTGCACCTGTAGAGAAATTCCTTCCTTAGTTTATATGACTCATAAAAATTCCCTCCTCCTACGGATGTAACTCTTCCCCATCCCTTTCTCATAAATTCCCCTTGCCATCAACTCCTAATGCTTCCCAATATTGCAATTCTTTTTTTTTAAAATATAGGATTTGATTATTACTATTATTTTTTAAAACATTTTTATTGACTGCAGAGAGGAAGGGAGAGGGAGAGAGAGATAGAAACATCAATGATGAGAGAGAATCTTTGCACACCCTCTACTGGGGATCGAACCTGCAACCCAGGCATGTGCCCTTGACTGGAATCGAATCCCGGACCCTTCCGTCTGCAGGCCGACTCTCTGTTCACCGAGCCAAACTGAGTAGGGCTACAATTCTTTTTGGATCTCAAACGCTTGTTGCCTCTCACCTTGACTTTTTTTTATTTTTAGGTGAACATTCCCAACAAATGGGAGAGTCGTTTTAACCTTGGTTTTGGTGGAAATAATCACATTATTTCCTAGTGAAGCTCTCGCTATTTAAAATTCTCCATCTTCCATTAACATTTATACAGGGCTAGTGCATTTCTCAGCTGCCAATGGGTGGGTCATCCCTCATGAACCTAACAGGATAGCCACAAGTTAAAAACATTTGTATGCCATTAATACATGCTCATTTTAGGCAATTAGGAAAAATCAAAAATATAAAATAAATCATTCACAGTCCTACTGCCCAGAGAAAGCCACAGTTAACATTTTGGTTAACTTTTTTTTTTTTTTTAAATAACATTTTCAAAAAAGTATAAAGGTAACATCTCAACACAGAAGAAAAAACTTGGGAAATGCAGAAAAAAAAATCATCGGAGTGATCTGTAATGTTACTACTCAGAAATGGCCACCCTTCCCAGCCAATCTTTCCCTATCGGTCACTTCTATGGTTTTGTATCTCTCTCCGTAAATGACAAGCTCTGGAAGAGAAGGTAGCAGACGTAGACGTCCCTCTAAGAAAGGGTGGACTCTTTCTTTGTCTCTGATGTTCTCAGGTCACAGGTAATTAAGAGCCTGAAGACTGATGTTCTAGAACAGTCTTCCCAAGGTGTGGTCCATGAGCTAACAGCAGAGGGATCGCCCGGGAGCTTGTGGCAATGCAGTCCGAAGCTCTGGTCGAGGATGGGGGTAGGGGCAGAATCTAGTTTAACAAGCCCCGTAGGAGGTCCTGACTCGCGCTACAATTTGAGGAGCAGTGCACGGAGAGCCCGAACTCTGGCGGGTCCCGACGGACTGACAGTGAGCGTTCACTTGGGAAGTGGGAGGGAACCACTTTGTGGCATGGCACTCATTCATCATCCTACCGCCGTGTGGTTAAGCTTCCTGCGGGAGAGACCACCTAGGGGGCATCCCCAGCTCCGGCTTGTCATAGGGGCTCAGCAAAGACTTAGTGAATGAATGAACCGACAAAGGAATTAAGTGAATGAACATATGAACTCTGGAGCTGTGGCCCACGTGTCCTTTTAAATTTTTTTCTTTTCACTTTTAGGATCGGAACATCAGCTAACATCAGCTAACGGCTGACCACTGCCAGCCCACCCCTCCCACCCGCGTGGATTGTACGTCTGGGCTCCAGAGAGAGAGCGGGGCTTGGAGCGCATCATGATTTCACCATTCTTGGTGCTGGCCATTGGCACCTGCCTTACCACCTCCTTAGTGCCAGGTAGGATTGGGGGGCACAGATGGAGGGCAGGAAGACCTGGCGCAGGTGGGGTAGGATGGGGGCATTGCCTATGTTCAGGGTCATAAAATCACCCGAAGGGTTTAAGAGCAGGAAACAAATGTTCAGAACGGAAGTCCCAGCTCGCCTACTGCACATGCTCGTGTTGTGGGCCACGCTTTCTGCTTTATGTTTTCTTGTTCTTTAATTGAGGCGCCTCTTCTCTCATCTCTCTATCACCTGAAATAGAACTTACTCGATAAACTCTCCCAAGGCGTGGCGCGCTACGTCTCCTGTCGGTTTTGTCTGCTTAGCCCGTGGAGGGGGGGTGCATTTCCTTGCGGTTTGTAATTGTTGCTTGTGAACTCATCTTCAGCAGGAGTTTGTTTTTGTTTTTTGCTTTCTATTGGACAGTCATATGGAAGTGTTTCTACAGTGCAGATGATACCAGGTTTTCCAATGAATTCTAGATAAGTTTTTATGTTGATGCCTCACTTAGCAATGGCTCAGTTTTGGAGCCGAGTTCACATTTCTCATGACTGGCTTCTTTCCCTGTCCCTTCCATAGTCAAACGTGCACCTTCAAACAGCTTCCACCTAGACCTGCATCTGGTCTCACTTCCCAGGGCCCGCAGCATCCGCTCCTGTTTACTTCTCCGGTTTTGAATTTCCGGGTATACCCCTTCCCTCTTTTCCTCCTTCCTCAAGCTATGTCTGTTTTTAATTGTTTTGGGTTGGTTTTCCCCCCAGCATTTCAGTATCTGTGATTAGAGAGGGGAGCCCTCCTCGGCTCCACCCACCATGTGGCTGGAAGCACCCCCGCCACCCTCACTGAGCCTTAATTTCTCCATCTATTCCATGGAGACAATTCCTCCAGGCTATTGTGGGAAGGAATGGTGCAGTCACAGTGTCTAGCAGGGACGGGGGCTATTAGGAAGAATATATTTCAACAGATCAGGAAATTGGGGTACAGAGAAGGACCGGCCTTCCCAGGTCACCCAGCGAGTCAGTACAGAGCTGGGACGAGAACCGGAGCTGCTGGGGTTCCCAGGCCGCCGCCCCCTCTGCGACCCCATGAGGCCTCTCAGTGTGTACTTTTGGGGACCCAGGACCGAGTCCTGGGTGAGAGGTGAGCAGATGGATGAACAGGGAAAAGAATGAAAAAGCAACGAAATGAAAAACCTTCCAATATTCAATTTAAAAAAAAAAAAAATCAGCACCTCAGTTTTTGTGTGATCTGTTTCGTTTTAGCCGCTCTGGTGAGTGTGCAGAGAGGTACACAGTGTTTTCTTTCTTTTTTAAAAAAAATTTGGTATAATTTACACCAAGTTAGTTATAGACATAGTTTTGTATCCATGTAAGCCCCGCCCAGACCCAGGAAGAGCACTTCCAGGCAGGGGACACCCAGGGGCTCTCCCTGCCCCTCCCAACCCCCAGGCCGAAGGAAGTAACTACCAGCAGGTGCTTTCCTGCCACCGCAGACGAGGTTTGCCCCTTTTGAATTTCACATAAACAAAATCACACAGTACGTACTGTAAGCTGACAAGTATAGCATTGCACGGTGATTGGAGCTGAGAAAGAAATGGCTGTGAAAACAATGGCCTCCTGATACTCAGTTGTCCGAAGCCGTCATGGCTTACCTCCGTTCTCTGACAATGAAGTCCGTTCGGCATCCACTGGACCGGACTGAGGGGCAAGCCCTGGGATGGCTCTGGTGAGAATGGCACGGGTTCTGCAGGAAGCAACACAGCAGGGAACTTGGCAAACTGGTAGCAGAGCTTGTGTGGGGAAGGAGCCACAGGTGCTGGGCCAGTGGGGCGGCGGGCTGCAGGTGGCCAGGAAGGGTAGAAGTTCATCACCATCCCGGTGGCACCCAAATGGCCAAAGAAGCTCCTGGACCAAAGCTGGGCACTGTGGGGTGAGGTAGGGGGACGGCAGGAAGGAATCGCAACCAGCCCTGAGCCAGTGGGATCCCTGATGAAAGCCAGTGCCGGACACTTCCCCAGGCTTTGCCTCATTTAACCCTAGCACTGCTGTAGGCTGCTGTGTCCCCCCCTTTGCCTGGGGTCTGAAGTTAGTGAGCTCAGCAGACACCTTCAGGAGAGAGGCAGTGCTGGGGGCTGCCAGGGGAAGGTGGGGGCTATGGGGTTGGGGTGAGTGACATAAGGGGAGACCTCTTGGGGGGAGGGAGTGAAGTGTGGATGGGCCCAAGACCTGAAGCTGAGGGCAGCTTCCTTCTGCCTCCTCGCGCACCTGAGGCAGGGGCACAGCCCCTAGATGTGTGGGTTTCCTGTTTTTCTTTTTCAGCTCTAATCTCCGGGCCCCATGTTGCATTTTATAACGTGGAGGAAATACGGTGGCCGCCCCATCGGGCTGCGGTGTGCGAGGCTCCTGGCACTTGCCTGGAAGCCCTGCAGGGCAGCGCAGGCCTGAGCTGGGCCCAGGGGTGAGGCGTGTGTCCTCAGCCCACAAATATGCAGCTCGGCCTTGGACGAGACCCTCCCACGCCTCCCGGCCTCAGCCTTCCCTTCTATGACCGGGAGGCCACTGGAAGAGAGAGCCTGTCTCCAGGCCTCGGTACACTGGTGCGCTGGTTTAAGGGGCCCAAGCACAGGGGAGAGCCCAGCAGGCCTGGGAAGGACCCTGCGCCCGAGGACAGGGAGCTCGGCCTCTGGAAAAACATGGGAGGCCAGGTCTGGGGATGGAATCGCTAGGGGCCGCGGGGTGGGCTTTTCATGTTCTCCTGTGGGCCAGGTGTGTCACTGCCTAACCCAGTCCTCATAAGACCCCGAGAGGAAGGTACAGGCAACCGCATTTGAAGGCGGGGAAACTGAGGCTCGGGGAGGCGACTCGTCTGCACAGCCGGGACTTGGCACAGCTACATGGGGAAGGCGGGCAGTTGAGGTTCGTCAGACACCAGAGCCGTGTTCTTTCCACTGGAGGACTGACTACTGGACACAGCACAGGCGAGGGAGAGGGAGAGAGGAAAAGAGGAAGAAAAGAGAGCATTCCTGGTTCCGTCTTATCTCCAGATTGGGGGTTCAGAACGTGCTAATTTATCCTGACAGGAGCGAGATTGTGCGTAGCTATTTCCACTTGGTTCCTTAAACAAAAGGCAAGTCTTTAAACAAAAGACAAGTTTCACTTTCCAGCACTAAGCCAGGTTCCTGCTGAACCTGCTTTAATCAGTAAGCCACGCAGAGTTTATAATTGATGACTGAGACGTCTGGGGACTCCCGCAGTTGTAAGTAGTTTGTTCTCTTGAACGGCTTAAACATTACCTTCCTAATCTCGTGCCAGCCCAATTCATTTGCTGCCTTAGCAGAAATGTCCCTCTACTGCAGTGGTTCTCAACCTTGGCTGCACGTTAGAATCACCTGGGAATCTTTTTAAAATCCTGATTTCTGGGCCTCATCCTCCGGAAATTCTGTTTCTTTGTTACGAATGTTATGGCCTCACCCCATAACAAAGAAACAGAATTTCCGGAGGATGAGGCCCAGAAATCAGGATTTTAAAAAGATTCCCAGGTGATTCTAACGTGCAGCCAAGGTTGAGAACCACTGCTCTACTGGGTGGAAGGAAAGAGCCTGAGCTTTAGAGTGGAACTCAGCTCTGCCAGTGCTGTGTGGCCTTGGGCTAGTCACTTGGTGTCTCTGAGCCTTGGTTTCTTCATTCTGAGATGTGGGGAGAAGACCCAGGGTCCATAGGCCTGTTTGGAGGGTTAGACAGGAATAGGTTTACAAACCACACGATGACTGTCGGATGGGCAACTACTGCTCCCTCCCCAAGCCCTGGCACCCTGCCCTCAGGCATGAGAAGTTGAGGTCCCTGTAAGTCTGGGGATGAGAAGCTAGTCCCACCCCCTGCAAATAACTCTGCTTCGCTGTCTGTACAGAGAAAGAGAAAGACCCCAAGTACTGGAGAGACCAAGCTCAGCAGACCCTGAAAAACGCCCTGAGCCTTCAGAATCTCAATACCAACGTGGCTAAGAATACCATCATGTTCCTGGGAGACGGTGAGGCCTGAGGCCCGAGGGGGGGGGGGGGCTGGACAGGGCACCTAAAGTGGGGGCCACAGAGCCAGGCAGAGGCGAAGGGGACTGTGTTGAAGAGGCTGGAGCCCTGGGAACATTTTAAGAGGATGGGGCCAGGCCGTGGACCCATGAGATCGGCTGTGCCAGGCAGTTCCCTGAGGGTCTGGGGAGGGAAGGGGTGCCCAGTCACATTTCCAGAGCCATACTCTGGTGCTCAGTGCCCAGCCTGAGTTGGCACTAAGCTAGAGAGCTATGGGTGCCCGGGAAGACTGGCTGGAGAGGCTGAGGCCCTCTTTTCCCTCCACAGGGATGGGCGTCTCCACGGTGACGGCCGCCCGCATCCTCAAGGGCCAGCTGCACCACAACACCGGAGAGGAGACCAGGCTGGAGATGGACAAGTTCCCGCACGTGGCCCTCTCCAAGGTGAGCTCCGGCCCCGCCTCGCAGCTCACAGCTCGCAGGAAAGGGAGGCGGAGTGCTCAGCCCTCCTGGCGTCTCCGAGGCCCTCCTGAGAATGGGGACAGCAGCAGCTACCTCCCAAGACTTTATTTTGAGGGCTTAGCTCGTTGATTTTTAAAAATCGATGGGAGAATAACATACAAAGAGACAAGTACCCACGCGCACAGCGTGGGTTTTCACAAACTGCCCGTGCCGTGTCGGTATAACCAGCATCCGGGGGGGATGAACGTGACAGCAACCAGAGGCCACGGGCCCTCGCAGGCCTTCGCAGCCCTTGCCCTTGCCCGCCCGCAGACTAGCGGTCCCTGCGTGTGTACTTGATGGAAAGGGAGTCGGGCAGTATTTACTCTCCCGCGTGGCTCCGTTGCCTTCATTCTCTCCCAAGGTGGCCTGGGAGGTTAGTGCGATGATGGCTGGGAGTGGTAGCTGTTGTTACCGGTGTCGTCATCGTCATCGCTGGCAGTGGTGTTCGGAAATAAAGATCCTCTAGACCAGTGGTTCTCAACCTTCCTAATGCCGCGACCCTTTCATACAGTTCCTCATGTTGTGGTGACCCCCAACCATAAAACTATTTTCGTTGCTACTTCATAACTGTAATTTTGCTACTGTTATGAATCGTAATGTAAATATCTGATATGCAGGATGTATTTTCATTGTTACAAATTGAACATAATGAAAGCATAGTGATTAATCACAAAAACGATATGTAATTATATATGTGTTTTCCGATGGTCTTAGGCGACCCCTGTGAAAGGGTCGTTCGACCCCCAAAGGGGTCGCAACCCACAGGTTGAGAACCGCTGCTCTAGACCAAGCGTGTCAAACTCACAGCCGGCGGGCCACATGCCTCGTGTCATAAACGAGTTTGACATGCTGGCGACACTCCCAGGGAATAGCAGGACCGACTGAGGTTTTCTGTGCCTTCAAGGAGCTCTCAGGCTGGTGGGGACGGGAGACAGCTTCAGGGTCTCTACTAGAGGTCTGAAGCAGGGGAAGGCCTCGTTCCCATGTCCCCATTCTAGATCCTGCCTCCCCCTTACTTCCCCTTCCCGCCCTCCATCCCCCCCACCTTCAAGAACTGAGCCTCCTGCCCCTCATCTTCCCCTTCTCCAGAACTCTACTGCCTTCCCCTTCCCCTTGCTGCCTCCTACAGCCCAGACTCAGAGAGAGGCCTCACTGGCCCAGCCCCTCTCCTCTGCCAGACATTTCCACGTGTTGGAGGGTGGCCTTCCTGCTCCTTTTTGCTGTCCTGGCTGCCAGGGCAGAGGGAGTGGGGGCAGGAAGCAGGCAGCTAGGTGATCCTGTGGCTCTGGGGGGACCTCAGTGGGCAGCAGGGCTCAGCCAAGGCTGTGGGAGACTCTCTGTCTCCCTCATGCCCAGGCCCCATGGTGTGAGTGGGGGTGGATGGGCAGCAGGGTGAACCAGGGCCTGGCCATCTTCCAACCCTCCTTCCCTACCTGCAGACATACAACACCAACGCTCAGGTCCCTGACAGCGCGGGCACCGCCACTGCCTACTTGTGTGGGGTGAAGGCCAATGAGGGCACCGTGGGGGTGAGCGCGGCCACCCAGCGCTCCCACTGCAACACCACTCAGGGGAACGAGGTCACCTCCATCCTGCGCTGGGCCAAGGACGCCGGTGAGTGGGGGTTGGGGTAGTGGTGGGGAGTGGGGCCTGTCTGGGCCTCAGTCTTCCCAGCTGTACAATGGGGAGAGGGTAGAAAAAAGGTGCTCCCAGCTCCAATTCTGAGAATCTGAACTATTCGAATTCTCCTGCCTTCCCCTTCCCCTTGCTGCCTCCTACAGCCCCAGACTCAGGAAGGCTGGTGGTTTAGGAACCCACTCCGGTGTGGGTCCTGGTCCTGGAGCATTTCCCTGAGGCTGTTCATCCCACTGTAAAATGGACATGAAAACCTGGCCCCTCAGAGGCTTGGTGTGAGGAAGGCCCGGGGCCCAGCCCAGTGCCAGCCCATGGGGGGTCAGGGAACGTCTCCTCCTCCTTCCTTCTGGAAGTGGGAGGCTCTGGCCTCTGTCCCCAGGAGTTTTAGGGTCAGGGTACGAGACCAGCTGACACAGGTGACACCACCACCTGAGAGCCCGCATAGGGGCCGCTGTGCTCCTGCAGGCTCCTCAGTGGAGAGGAGGACTCACCCAGATGCTCACAGCTCAAGGATCCTCCGGGAGGCAGAGTGTCTGAGCTGCCAGAGTACATGAAAGCCACCATCCCCCTGTTAAGTGCTGATGGGGGGACTGAGGCCCAGGTGGTCATGCAACTAACAGGAGGCCAGTCTTTAGCCAGGAGGAGGGAGAGGCCGCCTGGACACCGCCGTCTCCAGATGAAGCCAACCCCTCCTCTCCCACACCCCAGGGAAATCCGTGGGCATCGTGACCACCACGCGAGTGAACCACGCCACCCCCAGTGCCACCTACGCCCACTCCGCCGACCGGGACTGGTACTCGGACAACGAGATGCCCCCAGAGGCCCTGAGCCAGGGCTGCAAGGACATTGCCTACCAGCTCATGCACAACATCAGGGACATCGAGGCGAGTTCGGGGGGTGTGCAGCCAGTGCAGGGGTCCCCGAGCTGGGAGGCAGGATCTCGGGGGGGGCGGGGGACTGAGGCCTCAGGTACAGGCTGGCACGGGAGAAGCAGCTTGGCCTGGCTCCCCAAACACCTGGGAGGGCTCCCAGCCCATTAGGGGATTTGTGGTTGGGGCAGGGAGGCTCTCTGCGCTGGGGCTGAGGGATAAACCCTGATGTGGCCGCCGCCACACTGCAAGAACCAGGCGCCCAGGGATTATTTCGTCAACTGGAGCCTGGCGCTGCACCCCCACGACACAGGGAGGTGGGGGGGCCATCTGAGGGGAGTCTGCCCTGTACATTCCCACGTGCACAAACAGGGATGTGCCCCACAGGCTCATCCAGCATGCTCAGGGACAAGGTGGTGTGGACGGGGGTAGCACCAGCTCTCACTTTTAAACCTCTTGGGTTCAAATCTTTGCCCTGTTTGCTAGCTGTGTGACCTTGGATCAGTTACTTCACCTCTCTGAGCCTTCCCTTTCACCCCGCTTTGTGAAATGTACCCATCGATTAGTAAGCCCGTTGCAAGATCTCAATACAACGGTCCCTGTAGCGGCTGCACAGGGCCTGACACCTAGCGAGAGCTCAGAAAGCGGTGACGTTTACGAGTGAGCCGCGTGTCCTTGCCCGAAACACAAGCTTTAAAACCCCGAGCGGGTGTGTGAACGCTTGCCACCCGGACATGTCCAGAGGGGTCCCCACTCTCTCTCCCTAATGAGGACTTCTGGCTTGTTCCTTTCTCAGTGGGGATCGGGTGGGGGAGCAACGGGACTTTGGCCCCCCGAGCCTCGCAGGGGTTCAGTGAGGCTCAGAGGGAGCCCTGGGTCCCGCCTCCCCCTTACCTCTGTTTCTAACCTTACCAGACAAACTTGCTGGCTCCCTGACCCTCCTCTGCCCCCATGGAATCCCCCCAGTTTCAAAGTGCCCCCCCAGCCTCTGTACCAGCCCATGCCCTCCCTTTTCCTAGCGATGGATTAACACCCTTTCAGGACAAACTGTCCTGCTGACCCGTTTAGTGAGCATATATCCAAGGCAAGGCCGCCATCCTGACTCGTGTCCTGGGACAAGTCACTTCTCCCCCCTGACTCAGTCTCCCCACCTGTACAAGAATAGAGAGCCCGCTTGCCCCCCTCCTAGGGCCACTGGAGGCCGAGATGAGGTCATGATGTGAGAACATTTGTTGTACAAGCACAGGGTATAATTATGGGACTGCTCTTTAGAGAGATTTGGCAGGAACAGCCTGAGAGGGGACCGGAGTTTAAGGGAAGATTTCTCCAGTGGGGGTGAGGGGTGGATTGAGGGGGGTCCTCGGGAGCCACTGGGGGATGAGCGTGGGTGACAGTGAGGAGGGAGGGCCGGGCGAGTCCTGCCTCTCCTCCCTTGCCTCCCTTTCTCCTCATCCTTTTCTCTCCCATCGGCCCTGCATCACCGCCACCCCAAAGCCCCCGGCCCCCAGGCTGCACATGAAACAAAAATCTTGGTGTCCGCCCTGAAAATAAATATCTTTTGCTAAAAAAACAACAAAAAAAGAAAGACACAAACCCAAACCCCAAAGCAAACAGCAAGTCTGTTATTTGGGAGTTTAATGAGCCCGTGTGAAGTCTCTGCCGGGGCTGGAAATGAGGAGGCTCCAGGCACGAAGATTGGGGGCTTCGTTTCCACTCCGAAGATGCCAAGGGGTCAGGTTCTGTGGGAATGGGGGGGGGCAAGGGGTCAGTGACCCGGGGCCCCTTCTCCTCCTCCTCTCACAGCCTGCCCCACCCCCAGAGAATGTGCCCCTATGGAAACCGTGACCTCTAATTCCTCTGCCAGTGGGAACACCCTGGCAGAGGCCACCCCTGGGTGCCTGCAGTCCTCCTGCAACGGTCCTGTGGGTGGGTGTTATTTCCATTTTATAGGTAAGGAAACGGAGGCTCAGAGAGGAGAAGTGACAGGCCCTTGGTCAAGAAGGGACAGAGTCAGGATTCAAAGTCGTGTCCCCACCAGTTCCCCATGATCCTGGCCGGCCCTGGGGCGCCCTGCCCACCTGGACCGCCCCGCACAACCTGGGTCCCGGGAGGCAAACGGAGCGGAAGGTAGAGGAGGGCCTTGAAATGCCAGCCGGCCCTGCTCCCCGAGGTGTCAGCCAGGGGCGGCGGCCTGGGCTGACGCCTGTGGTGGCAGGACACCGGTGTGGTGGTGACTGTGGGCGGCAGCTGTTATGCTCTTGGCCCCGTTTTAAAAATAGTCAGGACTTCAAACATGGACTCCCAAGGAAAACAAACAGTCCCGCGTCCTCCGGCAGCGGTGGGTAAAATTAGCCTGGCGGTGACTCCGCAGACGGCAGCCCTGGCCCGCTGTTTGCCCAGCGCCCAGCTGGGCTGCCCCAAGACCTCCCTGGCGAGGCCTGGGCCTGCGGGCACCTCGCCTCTCGCTGTGGGGAGAGGAAGAGGCTCTTGGAGGCTCCATCGTGGGCTCTGCGGACACCGCGGGGCCCCGGTGCCAGGGTCGGAAGGAGGCTCGGGTTCGAATCCTGACTCTGCCCTTGCTGGCTGTGTGGCCTCGGGGAAAAGACATCCGATTTCTGCGGCCATGTCCTCGTGGGGAAAGTGAGTACAGCACACGTCTCCCCGGCGGCCTGGGGTGAAGTCGAGTGGAGGATGTGTCGGGAGCGCCCAGGCCCTGACACGGGCAGCGCTGAGCAGTGGTACTGTTTGCACCCAAGGGGCAGTTCTGTCAGGCCCCCCGGGAAGCAAGTGCGGGCGGGTACCCGCAGCTCCGACATGTCACCATCCCGTAGACTCGCTGGCCTCCCCCACCTGGAAAGGGAGGCCCCAGAGAGCAGCGCAGACTGACCCAGGACTCTCGGCTGGAGAGGCACCCACGCCACCCTGAGGCGGGGGCCCCTGGGCTGCCCGATGGCTTGGAACCCCAGGGTACTGATGGCTCCTGTCCCCTTTAGGTGATCATGGGGGGTGGCCGGAAGTACATGTTCCCCAAGAATAGAACCGACGTGGAGTATGAGCTAGACGAGAAGGCCAGGGGCACGAGGCTGGACGGCCTGAACCTCATCGACATCTGGAAGAGCTTCAAACCCAGACATAAGGTAGCCGTTCAGTGACCTGATGCGGGGTGGCCTGTGGTGGGGCCAGGGCTTGGTGGTCATACTTCTTACCTCAGCGGGCTCAAATGGCCTAACAGATACATGAATGGCACATAGTAGGTAATCAATTCCTTCCTTCAGGGGAGGGCAATGGGAGAGCTAGACAGCAGGAAGGGGGTGGGCCAAGGAATAGCCTGCATGGACATTCAGTCCCTGAGTCCCTACTGTGTGCAGGGCCCCTACTGTGTGTAGGGCCCCTAGCTGGCATGAAGTCCAGTGATGGATCGGATGGTCAAGGAAACGTGGAGCCCTGTATGCTCGCATGGTGGATGCCCAGGACCTACTGGAGCCCAGAGGGGACAGGCCACAGGGAGGGGCCGAGGCCTGACCATGGGGAGGCAGGAAGGAGGCAGCTTTGGAAGGTCTTGCAGGCAGAGGCGGCAGGGCGTGAGGTGGAAGCCCTCCACAGTGAGCTGGCTCTGGCCAGGGCGAGGGCACGTGCTGGGGAAGCGAGGCTGGAACGTGGGAAGGGCCAGCCTCTGGCTCCCGGAGTGGCTGTGGCCTTTGTAATCTGTGCTGCTGGCCGCTAGGCCTGGGGCAGCTGGGGTCTGGATGACTGTGGTCAGGGCTGAAGACAGTGGGGAGCAGCCTGGCAGCCACTTTGATGTCACTCTGGGGTTGGGTTTCTGAGGGTTCCAGGACTGGCCCCAGGGGAGGCCTTGTGGGTTGGGGCTGAGCCAAGAGTGAGCCGGGGGCAGGGGCTGGGGAATGAGCCCCGTGGGGCTGGTGAGCTGCTTTGAACCTTTCCCATTCCTTCTGAGTCAGCTCGGGCTGGGCCAGAGCCGCTCCCGGCCCAGGCCAGCAAGACAGCACGCCTCCCAGCCTCAACTTCTCTACCTGGGACATAGGACCAGAGCTTAATTCTTGCATAGGCGGGGAGCTCCAAGGAGCTCAGTCTAGACCCCCAGAGGGAGGGAGAGGGCCCACAGACTGGCCCAGGCAGGGCGTCACTGTGGGCTCCCAGAGAGGCCATATATTCATTACGAACCATGCCTTAAGAGTAGGTTCTAGAGTGTCTTCACCACCGAATAGCTATGTCATCTGTGTGTCTCAGTTTTCTCATCTGTAAAATGGGCATAATAATCCCAACCTTATAGGGCCGATGTGGGGTTTAATGAGATAACACACCTCAGGGAAGCAGAGGACAGGATGGGAGTGGGGGAACAGAGCCCCACTGTCTTAGCCATAACAACCTCCTTCCCATAATAACCCCTGAGGTTTGAAAACCCCTGAGCCTAATGCCATGGCCCAGAGAAGGCAAAGGACACTCCCCAGGACTCACAGCTGATTCCTGGCAGTGGTAGGACCCCCCAGTCCAGGCCCTGAATGCTGCCACCTCCAGGCAAGCCAACCAGCCTCTTCCTGTGGCCTCTGTGCCCTGGACCCAGCACATACGGAGTCCCCAGGACAGAGCTAGGGCTTCACTTCCCCCCTGGCTCTCCATGGCCCAAGGAACACAGCTCCTACCTCTCAGTGGGCACTCAAGACTCCTTGTGACCTATGCCTGCCTCTTCTTTGCCCCATATTCCTCTACTTAGAACTCATCTCCCTGACCCCAGGCTGATCAATTTCCACTTGTCCTCATTAAGACATCACCTCCACCAGGAAGCCCTCCCAGATCTCACCTTTGGGCTCACAGTGTTCCCTGGTCTCTCAGAACTCTTCCCCTACATTAGACTTACCTATTTATTTGTCATTTCTTGAGGGTAGGGATGGTCTGTCCTCAGGGAAGGATTGTTAAAGGATGAAAGGAAATAAATACATGCCCCAGACTCAGGGACCAGCTGGGATCAGTCCTTCCCGCTCCCCCAGCCCCAGCACGACTGACAGGCCCTTCCTCCTAGCACTCTCACTACGTCTGGAACCGCACCGAACTCCTGGCCCTCAACCCCAACACCGTGGACTACCTCTTAGGTAAGGGGGCCGGGGGTTGGAGTGGTGGATGCCTGGCTGGGTGCCCTGGGGCCACAGCTGTGTGACCCAGAACCTGGGGGTGAGGTCCCAGCCTGCCTCCCCTACTTAGGGACCTTTGCCCTCAGGCTCCAGGGCCTGGGAGGGGTGAGGAAGGGGTTCTGGTTCATAGAATTTCGGCCCCAAATCTGCTGGCTGTGCAGGGTGAATAGCACATTGAGCACAAAGGGACACTGAAGGTCAGAGAAGGGACGCGACCTCTGGCACGCCCCCCGGCTGATTAGAGTGTGGCCCAGGTAAGTCAGAGCTGAGGCAAACAGGGCCCAGGCTGTGGAGCAGGGGCCTGGAGCCAGCCCTGCGTGCAGCCAGGGCGGAAGCCAGCCTGGCTGTCTCTGCTGATCTTGACAGGGGGAGCTTTCAGATGATTGCAACCTCGTGAGAGACCCAGCCACGCGGCTCCTAATGCCTGACCCAAAGAAACAGCACGTGCAATAACAATTGACTCCTATTTTAGACGGTTCAGTTTTGGGATAGTTTGATACACAGCAACCGATAACCTAGACCAGTGATGGCGAACCTTTTGAGCTCAGCGTGTCAGCATTTTGAAAAACCCTAACTTAACTCTGGTGCCATGTCACATATAGAAATTTTTTGATATTTGCAACCATAGTAAAACAAAGACTTATATTTTTGATATTTATTTTATATATTTAAATGCCATTCAACAAAGAAAAATCAACCAAAAAAATGAGTTCACGTGTCACCTCTGACACGCGTGTCATAGGTTCGCCATCACTGACCTATACAGTACATGAGCTCATTTACTCCTCATGACAACCCTGAGGTAGGCCCTATCATTGTCCCCATTTTATAGAATTATTCCTACTTTTAGAAGGGAAATCACCTGCTCAAGGTTGCACAGCTCATCGGTGGTGGGAGCTGGATTTGAACCCAGCTCTCTGCTCTCAGCTCCATGAGCGGCACTGTCTTGCTCCGTGAGTGCATCCCCAGCTCCACACAGCCTATGTGTGGTAGTCTGTGCCATGTGGCCCAGGCAAGCAGAGGGCTGTGTGTATCTGGGGGATTCTCCAGGCGCCCAGCTCTGAGCCCATAATCACCAACGACACACCCAGGACCTGAGGGCTGAGCTCCTTGGGAAAGGTTTGCAGGAGATTTGGCCACCACTTGCTGGGCACGGTAGCCGGTGGGAAAGAGGACTCGGGTGTCTGCATGGTGGTGCTCACGTCTCCTGCCACCTAGCCCAGGGCCCTACCGCGGCTCCCTTCTCCCTGGGGAGGAGGGAGCAGACTGGGTCTGGGGCTGCCAAGACGGCTTGCTCATATGGCTCATGGGTGGGCAGGAGGCTCAGTCCCTTGCCCCATGGACCGTTCCATTGAGCTTCTTGAGAGTCCTCACAACATGGCGGCTGGCTTCTCCCAGAAACCCAAGAGCATGCAAAGCCGAAGCTGCAGTGTCCTAGGCCCAGACCTGAGAGTCACACACGGCCATTCCTGCAGAATTCTACTGGCTGCACAGGCCAGCCCTAGTCATGGAGGGAGGGGGCCCGCCAGGGCTTATTGGGTGCCATCTTGGAGGCTGGCACCTACCAGCTTCCAAAGCATTTGGAGCGGCCCGAGGTACAGAGTGAGCGTTCTGCTACTCGGAACTCTTGTGTGGCTGTGCACGCACTCACGGAAGGGCCATGGTTCTGGAAGGATATCCAGAACCTAAGACACCGGCCCGGTACACATGCAGTCTTGTGACATGGACAAGAAATGGGTCCTTCCTCACGTCCCACGTGGGGAAACAGAGCTCGGTGAACAGAAGGGACAGTGACCCCAAACCTCCTGTTGTTTCCCTGCGCAGGGCACTGTGCACTTGACCCGTAGTGGCACGTAAACACACAGTCACGCTGCCCTGTGCAGTCCAGTCCAGGGCACAGTCCTGCCTGAGGGACACGGTGCTGTGTCCGGGGCCCTGCAGGCTGGGAGGTAGGCGGATGGACTTGACTCCCAGCTCTCCTACTCAGCAGCTGAAAATAGCAGTTACTGACCCCCCGAGCCTGTCTCCTCTTTAAATGGACATGGTGACCTCCCTCCACGGTGTGGCCATGAGATGACAGGCGGCAACGCTCCCAAAGCGCCTGGCACACTTTGGGTGCCAAGCGCCATCCAGATGAGCTTCCTTCCCTCCACTTGGCCCCCAAGTTGTGTGTGGGGAACCTGTGCTCCCTGAGACACCGCAGGTTCCTTGGGGACCCTCCTGGCCGGTCATGAAGTCTCACCATCCACCTCCTCCTCAGGCCTCTTTGAGCCGGGGGACATGCAGTACGAGCTGAACAGGAACAACGTGACGGACCCTTCCCTCTCCGAGATGGTGGAGGTTGCCATCAAGATCCTGAGCAAGAACCCCAAAGGCTTCTTCTTGCTGGTGGAAGGTAGGGCTCAGGCCTGACTGCAGGGCTGCTTGCCCGAGAGCGTGTGGATGCACAGCCCTGAGGTCAGGGGATAGGGAGGTCCAGCTCTCAAAGGGAACTGTCCAGTTTGGGATGATGGGGGAAGTCCTTTGGGAGGATGGGGTATGGGTTGGGGGAGAAAAGGGCAGTGCTGAAGCTCCTAGCCCAACAAGCTGTTCATCACACATACATGTGCGCCAGGCTTCCTAGTCCAGGAAGGCTCCCTGGAAGAGGAGGCGGGTTTCTTCCTTCTGGGAGGTCCTCCCTGAGGCCTGGCTCTGGAGGGGTGTACAGCCCCCGAAGCTTCACCCCTCCCAAAAGACAAACCAGCAGGCCCAGTAGACATCTGCACTCTGAGCAGCTGCCTGAAGGGGCTCAAGGACACAGGCCCAGGGGCCTCTTCTGCAGATGCCTGTTGGTCCACGGGAGCCCTCACAGCTGGACATCTGTTGTTACTAGGCATGAGCGGGGCCAAGGTCAGGTTCCTAGTCCTGTCCCTGAGAAGAAAAGGCCCAGGGCAGGCCCTGGGATATCCCAGGTCCCCCAGGTTGGGAGAGCCAGACCCTATGGGAGTGAACGGTGCTGTATGTGGCATTCGTTTCCCGGGCCATCGCGAGGCCCTGGAGTCGGGCTCGGGCCCTTGTCCTGATGCTGCCCTCCGCTGGCTGTGTGACCTCCACCAGGACATTTCTATTTAACGAGGCCCCACACAGTCCCCCTCTCATAGAAGGGTTATTAGCATCCAGTATGTTCAGAGACATAAAGTACTTGGAACAGGGCCCAGCAGAGAATACATCCTCGGTGTTGCTATTATTACAATGGTGATATTTACATACGAGCTAAGTCAATAACAATAGGAAGCTTGAGGACATGATAAAGTTCCTGGAATCTCCCAAAGTTCTAACAGCCACAGTCTTCATGTACACGCACACACACACACACACAAATTTCCACACATACAGACACACTCAGACCCTCCGCCCTCCAGAGGCCAGTGGCCGCCAGCCCGGCTTGACCACTTTCTTGCCAAACCCCGGGGTTCCCATTCAAGCATGGCGGTCTCGGTCTCGGCCTGGCCCCGACCAGGCCTCTGACGCCGAGGACCCAGCCAAGACCCCACGGCGGTGAGCTGGGGCTCCCCCGGGAGCAGAGCTCTTTGTGAGCAGGGCCAGGACTGGGCCCGCCAGGCCAGCGGCTCCAAAGCCACAACAAAGGAAGGACCCACCCTCCCAGCCTGCCAGGCCAGAGTGGTGAGGCCCAGGCCAGCGGCAGGGAGGGTGGCCAGGCCCCCAGGCTCAGGACCCTCAGCGCTGGGTGTCCACCGAGGCAGCATCTCCTGGTGGGAGACGAGGAGGCGCTCCCGCAGGTCACACAGCCCTTGACTGTGACCTTTAAGCCGGCTTTGTGCCAGGCCTCTCGTACTCACTGTGGAGGCAGCATGGGGTGCAGCACGGGGTGCAGGCTTCCACAGGCCTTTCTGGGATCCTGCGTGGGCCCTGCCCAGGCACCGAGGGCTTTCACCACCTTTTAGGACTGTGCTTCTCACTCAGGGGGGACTGTTCAACGCGGAGGAGGAAAAGCAGGTGATCTAGAGGGAGTCACACCTGAGTTCAGGTCCCAGCAAACACCACGTTGGGCACGTGACTTCCCCACTCTAGGCCTCAGTAGCTCCATCTGTAAATGGGGCTGATTGTACTCGTCTCTGCCCAGGATTGTTGTGAAGGGGAAACAAGATACCAGCTTGTCATGCCTGGCACCTAGGGGGCACTCAGGCATGTTGGTTCCCTCCCTGCCTCTCCGTCATCTCGGGGACTCCAAGCAGCTGCAGAAGGGGTGCTGGGAGCAGCGTGGGGTGGTGGAGGGAGCACAGGCTTGCAGTCAGGCGGCTCTGCTTTAAATCCTGGCTTTGCACTCTCCACGTGTGAGCCTTTGGTCCAGCAACTCGCCCCTCTGAGCTGCTGTACAGGCCGAACGGCTGCACAAAAGCCTGGTGTGCCTGGCACATGGCAGTTCCCCAGCAAAGAAGATGAACCCGCGGTCGTGCGGTGGGGCTTGGGGCTGTCCCTCTTCTTCCCCTCCCCCTCACCCAAGGCCTTTGCCTTGGTGTCCAAAGGAGGCAGGATTGACCACGGGCACCACGAGGGCAAGGCCAAGCAGGCGTTACACGAGGCAGTGGAGATGGACCAGGCGATCGGGCTGGCCGGCACCATGACCTCCCTGGATGACACACTGACCGTCGTCACTGCTGACCACTCCCACGTGTTCACCTTTGGCGGGTACACCCCCCGGGGCAACTCTATCTTTGGTAGGTGGGCCTCCAGGGGGGTGGGCATCTGGGAGCAGGAGGGGGTTGGTGAGCCAGCAAGCCCAGCGCCTGGCACAGGTGGCACTCATGGGGATTTACTGGTGGTTGGGGGAATGCAGGGTGGAGGGACAGAGTGAGGGGAGTGCATGATGGGTGGCCGGCTGCCTAGGTGATAGATGGATAGAAGAATGAGAGGGAGAATGGATAGATGGATGGAAGGGATGTGGGCACAGCGAAAACTAAGGGATGGTTGGTGGGAAGTAAATCAGGTTTGGAAGGTGGCTTCATGGAGGCGGGTCGGGCCCTTCAAAGGGACTGTACCCCCAGTGCTCCAACATGACCCCCGGACCCATGTCTTCCTGTGCAGGTCTGGCCCCCATGTTGAGCGACACGGACAAGAAGCCCTTTACTTCTATCCTGTATGGCAACGGGCCCGGCTACAAGGTGGTGGGCGGTGAGCGAGAGAATGTCTCCATGGTGGACTACGGTGAGACTGGCAAGACGCAGGGCTGGGAGGGGGCAGGGCACCCCTCGGGGATGGGCCTGGGAACGGAGTGCAGGCTTGTGGTCAAGGTCCGGGGTCTCGGAATAGCCAGCGCTGAGTCAGAACAGTCTCAGGGTGAATCCCCTCGTGCCATTCACTAGCTCTGGGACCGTGGGCCCATAACTTCAGCTCTCAGCTTCCGTTTCCTCCATAAACGGGTCCTACCTCCCACGGTCACCTGAAAAACTAAAGGGGTCTGATGAGCGTAGCACAGAGCCTGGCAGAAACGGGTGTTTGCTATCCAGTGTCATGTTTACTGGCTGCATACTATTCCAACACATGAGCCTTTCCAGGTGTTCATCCCATTCCCTATTGTTGAATGTGCATTTGTTTTGATGTCCCCAGAGGCCCCTGAGGGGCATCTAATGTGCAGCCGACGGTAAGAGCCGCTCCTAGGTTGACGCTTCCCTTCTAATCCAAATAGCTGATTTTCTCTCCTGAGGTTGAGAGTACAGGCTTCTACGTGAGAACAGACTCAGGCCGGAATCCTGCGGCCTGTGTGGAATGTCTTCCACGCACTCAGCCCCAGTTTTCCCTCCTGTAAAATGGGTCATTCCAGCCAGCCTGGGAGGGGCACGGAGACGCTGCTGCACAGCGCCAGGCCCTGGGTGGGCTCTCTGCAAGTGTTGCTTCTGGCCCACAGCTCACAACAACTACCAGGCGCAGTCCGCTGTGCCCCTGCGCCACGAGACCCACGGCGGGGAGGACGTGGCGGTCTTCGCCAAGGGCCCCATGGCACACCTGCTGCACGGCGTCCATGAGCAGAACTACATCCCCCACGTGATGGCGTATGCGGCCTGCATCGGTGCCAACCGCGACCACTGTGCCTCAGCCAGCTCCTCAGGCAGCCCCTCCCCAGGCCCCCTGGTGCTCCTGCTGGCCCTGCTCCCGCTGGGCATCCTGTTCTGAGGGCCCAGGGCCGGGGCACCCACTAGCCCATGACAGATGGCCAGCCTCCCTCTCCCAGCGCTGCACACCGCCTGCAGCCCACACCTCAAGGGGCAGGGAGGTGGGGCACCCACAGCCTCTGCAGCTGCCAGGAAGGGGACCCAGGAAACCAAAGTCCGCTGCCCGCCTCGCTCCCCTCCGGATCCTCCTCTGGGCCCAGACCAGTGCCCAGCCGCCTGCCCCCACCCCCATCCCCACCCCCACCCCGCGGCCCCTTTGGCCAACAGGCCAGGTTTCTCTTGGGCAGGCAGAGAACACAGACTGCAGAAATCCTCAAAGCATCTTATTTTTCTAGCAAACATATTTCTCCAGCTCCGGAGGCTCTGGAGCGTCCATGGAACATTCCAGATCTGACCCTCCCACTCCCCTCTCCTTCCGTCTGGAACCTACCAGGGCCCTCCATGCTCATGTCCCCACCTGAAGGGGAGACCAAGCCTTCTCTTCAGGATGGGGGTTTGCTCACTCACTCATCCCAGGCCTCCCAGGGCTCCCAGCAAGCCAGCTCCTCTGACGGCTGTCCCGCCCCAGGTGGCCTGGGCTGGGAAGAGCAGCCTGGCGGGCAGACACTTCCCAGCTACACACACACACACAGACACACACACACACACACACACACACACACACACACGCACGCCAGCTCCTCCCTGAAGTGACTCTCCTGTTTGGAACGGCAAGAAACTTTTTCTCTTTTTGGTGTTGGTTAAAAGGGAACACAAGACATTTAAATAAAAATTTCCAAATATTTCTGAGGACAGAGCTGAGTCTTTGTGGTCAGGGAGGAAGACACTGAAATAAGCTCATTTCTCTCAGAAGAGCTGAACTTAGGCCCGGGAGTAGGGGTGGGGGTGGGGGTGGGGGCGGGGGGAGGAGGGGTCTCCTGGCCTGGGGGCTTTAACACCCATCACCTGGGTGACTTTGGACAAATTGCTTTGTGTCTCTGCATCTCCATTCTCTTATCTGTAAATTGGGAGACAGCCCACACCTAGGTTGCTGTGAGGATTAAAGAAGAATGCCTGTGTGCCCCGAAACCACAGGAGGGAGGCCTTCAGGGGCCCTTAGACACCCTGGCTGCGTGGCGCCCACAAACAGAGCTACATACCATGGTAGCTGCCCATTCATTCATTCATTCATTCACGGATGTTGAGTATGTGCTAGACCCTGTACTAAATGGTGAACCACACTGACATCTACCTGCCCTCACAGACCTTCAGCCTGGCTTGGTGACTGAAATCTCTTCGTTCCTGATTGTCAAGCCTGGGGACTGGGTGCAGAATTCCCTGAGTTTGTTCCCCTCATCATTAGAATAAAAGCCCTTATAACAATAATGGCAATTAATGTTAATCATTTACCTTCTGCCCAGCTTTGTGCTTGATGCTTTCAATCCTCTCTAGGAAGCAGGCCCCATCATCTACCCTTAATGAGGAGGACACCAAGCTGCAGGAGGTGAAATGATTGCCCGAGATCCTCCAAGCCAGGGGTGGGCAAACTTTTTGACTCGAGGGCCACAATGGGTTCTTAAACTGGACCGGAGGGCCGGAACAAAAGCATGGATGGAGTGTTTGTGTGAACTAATATAAATTCAAAGTAAACATCATTACATAAAAGGGTACGGTCTTTTATTTCAATAGTTTTATTCATTTCAAACGGGCCGGATTCGGCCCGCGGGCCATAGTTTGCCCACGGCTGCTCCAAGCTGTGGAGCTGGGATTTAAATCCAGGTCCATTTGATTCCAAAACTCCTACAATTAACGGCGCCCTTTGTTTACCATGCGTTTCTAACTTCCTACCAACCAGGTTCTGAGGCGGCCAATATGCATGACTCATCACAAATCCAGTTAAATATGAACTCAAGAAGTTGAGACACCATATGTCAGAAGTGGGGGATCCTTCAGAAATAAAAATGCAGCTGAACAGATTTCTCTCTGAGCTTCCTAGCAGTCCTAGCAAAAAGAGAAACACAGCCAAGCTGATGCTGAGATAAAAAATTAAACTACAGCCCTGGCCGACTTGGCTCAGTGGATAGAGTGTTGGCCTGCGGACTGAGGGGTCCCGGGTTCGATTCCAGCCAGGGGCACATGCCTGGGTTGCGGGCTTGGTCCCCAGTAGGGGGCGTGCAGGAGGCAGCCGATCAATGATTCTCATCATTGATGTTTCCATCTCCCTCTCCTTCTCCCTTCCACTCTGAAATCAATAAAGAAATATTAAAAAAAAAAAATTAAACTACATGCCCAGCCAGTGTGGCTCAGTGTTGACCCATGAACCAGGACGTCATGGTTAGATTCCTAGTCAGGGCACATGCCTGTGTTGTGGGCTCGATCCCCAGTGTGGGGCATGCAGGAGGCAGCCAGCCAATGATTCCCTCTCATCACTGATGTTTCTCACTCTTTCTCCCTCTCCCTTCCTCTCTCTGAAGTCAATAAAAATATTTTTTTTTTAATTAAGCTACATGTCTACCTTCTTGCCAGGAAAAAGAGATATGTCATCTTGAACTGTACAGTGTGGTGTGTTAAGGTGTTATCTTCCTACCATCTTCATAGCTGCCATTCTGAGCAACTAGGAGTCAATCCCACCACGGCCTCCAGGAGACTGGGTGGAAGATGCACTTCAGAGTGTCCCACCACCAGGGCGAGGGAGCTGGGGTCTTTATTCTCCAAGCACACCCCTCACTGGCTAAAATCTGCTCCCGGAAAAATGACCACCCTGGCCCTGCCAACCTGCCCCTGGCAGGGCTGAGAGAACCCCCCAGGCATGTGCTGGAACTTCAAATACTTCGAGGATAAAAACAGGTACACCGATGGGTTAAAAAGGCCTCGAGTCAGAGAGATGAGACTGCCATCTCTGCTCCACCATTTTCTTGTTTCCACGACCTGGGGGCAAGCTGCTTGATGTTTCACTCTCACGTTGATGTTTCTCTCTCCCTCCCTCTCCCTTCTCTGAAAATCAATTTTTTTAAAAAAAGAATAAAGATGATCTGACAAGTTATTTTCTATTCATCCAGATAACCCCGTCTTCTATTAAAGATAATCCAGAACTTAACACAGTAAGAGTTTATTTCTGTTGTTAACATCTGGTGGTGCCTTTGGTCAGGTGACGGGGACCCAGGCTCTTTCCACCTTGTGGCTCTTCCCTCCTCTAAGTTCCAGATGTTCTATTAAACCAGAATGTCTACCTACTAGGTTCTATCTGACCAACACATTGACGGAGGGGAGGCAATGGAGGAGACATCTTTTTAAACTACTTCTTCCTGGGAGTGACACACACAGTCCATTGGTGAGAACTGATCATATGATCCCACTCAGATGCAATGGGGGCTGGTTGAGCAGCTGGCTGCCAGCAACAACTCTAGGGCAGGTTCTCAGGAACCTGGGCACCATTGGTACGTGGGGCCGGAGACTTCTCTGTTGTGAGTAGAGGCCAGGGATGTTTAGCAGCATCTACTCACTAGATTTCTAGGTGGCAAAACCATAGCCCTCCCAACCAGTTAAGAGCTTCTGCTCTATTTTTTTAAAAATATATTTTATTGATTTCTTTTTAGAGAGGAAGGGAGAGGGATAGAGAGTTAGAAACATCGATCAGCTGTCTCCTACACACCCCCAACTGGGGATGCGCCCACAACCAAGGTACGTGCCCTTGACCGGAATCGAACCTGGGACCTTTGAGTCCACAGGCCGACGCTCTATCCACTGAGCCAAACCGGTCAGGGCAAGAGCTTCTGCTCTATGGTAAGAAAAGAGCGTGGATGGGGGTGGTCAGCAGGCGGTCTTGTCTCAGCTTCGCTCATCCTCAGGGCCCCTTCCCACTCACGTGCTCCCCAGACGGCCCAGAGCAGCCTCACCGTATTTTAAAACATTGGGGACTTTCACACAGGGTTGGATTTCGGGCTTCTCTGAAAAACTGGAAGGTGTGGCTGCCACTGCCCCACATTTCTGCAGGGCAGTGGTCAGCGGAGCTGGCAGATGGCTGCCCACCAGGTTCACCACACGGCAGGAGGACCTGGAGTGCCATTCCAGGAATCCGGAAGCTGATCATGAAGACCCTGGGGAGCCAGGCAAGGTGCTGGGACTGGGACATGAGCGTCCTTCTTGAAAGGTCATCCTGGCAGCCGTTTCGAGGACGGCTTTGAGGAGAGGAACTAGAGGCTGGGAGGCCAGCCGGGAGGCTGTTCAAACAGACCAGGCAAAGGCAGCTGGGGCCGTGGAGATGGGGAGGCTGAACAAGCCCCCCAAACACGAGGGTCCCCGCTCCTGTTTGTCGAGAAGGAAGTTAGAACATCACGTGAATGGACAGATCATTGCAAACTGCTGAGACTGAGGGCAGGAGGGAGTGGGACACCTCCCACGCACCCACCCACTGAACACCTGAGCTGCGACTGTGACGTGGCCACCACGGGGACCCGTTTCCACACACCCCCCCACCCCGTCCTGTGAGGTGGGCATTATTCCCATTTTACAGATGGGAGAGTTGCGGCAAGCTGAACCCGGGTCTGCCTGACTCCCAGGCCACGTCCCCCCATTTTGCCTCTGGGATGCTAATCTCTCCAAGGAAAACAACCCCAGCCCATCAGCCACGGAAGCCCTTCCATGGGGCAGGGAGAGCCTGGGAGTTTATAATTAGTCCTTCCCCGTGGCTTACCAGGACCTCCCACCGAGACCTAGCCGGCCGGTGGGGGATGGGAATTAAGTTCCCAGAAGAGGATTTGGGCTCCCAAGTTCCTGTGTGGCTTCCTAGGCCTCCTTGCGATGCTGCCTTGATCACAGCGCCAGCACCAGGCCCTTTTCTGGCTCCTCAGCCACCTGTGCCCAAACCTCAGCACCTCGGGATGGTGCACACAAGTGCCCCCCAGCCAACCACGGGCAGGCCTGGCTGGGGTCCGTCATTGGCCAGTGCCCCGTCTCCCTCCTGCCCCCGCCCCCAGAAGCGAGGCTTAGAATCGTAGAGCGATGGGAACACTGACTGTGAGGGTCTCTGTGGGGCTCCCGAGGGCGACGCCCTAATCCTAGGGCCTCACAGCCCTTCACTCATCTGTCCTCCCAACCCCCTGTAAGGGCCTGTGGCCAGCAGCAGAGCACACGCCTGAGAGCAGCCATCGCTCCGTCCGCTGACCACTGCCCTGCAGAAATGGGGGGCAGAGCGAGCCACCCTTCCCACTTTCCAAAAAGCCCCAAATGCAATCCTGTGTGGAAGTTCCCCATGTTTTAAAACACGATGAGGCCCTGGCCGGTTTGGCTCAGTGGTCAGAGCGTCAGCCTGTGGACTGAAGGGTCCTGGGTTCGATTCTGGTCAAGGGCATGTACCTTGGTTGCAGGCACATTCCCAGTGCGGGGTGTGCAGGAGGCAGCTGATCAATGTCTTTAACTCTCCCTCTCCCTTCCTCTCTGTAAAAAGATCAATAAAAAATATATATTTTTTAAAGAAACACGATGAGGATGCTCTGTGCCATTTGGAGAGCATGTGAGCGGGACAGTGCCCTGAGGACGAGAGAAGCTGAGAAGAGACGAGCTGCCCACCCAAGCTTCCCACGCCCCTTCCTAAGCATAGGGCAGGGGTCCCACTCTCCCCATTTTCCTGGTGACGAAGCAGAGGCCGAGAGAAATTCGGTAGCTTAGGTGAAGTCACCCCGCTAACAAGAGGGAGGCAGGACTCGAAGCCAAACCCTGCGGCTCCAGGGAACGGATCTAATCCTGCCTTTATGTCTTTTGGCGCTGCACAGGCTGAGGAGCAGTCAGGAATGTAGCTGCAAAGGT